ATTAGTTTAATGATCAATGCGTCATTACAAATGGTAGGCGCACGATATTATGGACAAATGCATGCGTTAACTAAAATGTGATAGAATGTATAAGCGCACATTCATTCACATTTTAGTTTTGAAATAATGAGAAAATTGTTTACCAATTTAATAAATCCTTGAAACCCCGCAAAAACAACTGTAAGAACATATAAATATAACAAAACATACATTTATTTATAGATGAAATTTTTTTATAATACCGATTTTTGCTAATAAATAAATAAACGAAAAAATCGATTGTAAACATTACGGATAAAATGTGTGGAGGTTATATTAAAATAATTTTAATATAGGTAACCTACATTTTCCAATTATTTAAAATATCCATAATTTCAATACAACAAGGTATAAAATATAATATTATAACAACATCAAGTTGATTCATGTTCTGAATTCACAAAAAAAATTCAATTTGTTCGGTATAATCGTATTATAGGTACGAACTCAATAATAATATATGCATAATACAATAGGATCGAGAAGAATAGAAATGTCATACAAATCCATATAATTATGCAATATTATATTCACGAGTACACACAGAACACAATTTGCCTCTCTAAAATCAAAAATGTTTCTATTGCACAGAAATGTAGGATCCGTTTCATGAATTTCCAAATTATATTAGTTATTACTATTTATTTTATTTTAATTTATAATATATAGGTACCTTCTACTACGTATTGTGTTGGAGTCATATAGTAAAAAATATAAATGACAATTGGCATACCTAACGTTATGCTAGTGTGGCATGATTAGTATACTAAGTAGGTACATATTTTGGTTATAAGGTTTTATATAACTACTTTTTATAAATATTCATCCTTTATATTCAATTATTATTTTATTACCTATTATATAGCTATTTGTTAATTGTTGTAGAAACATTATACAATCATATTATAATAAACTAATAAGTAAAGGGAAACTAATGGACAGAGAAACCCATAGAGCAACTTACTATTAAGTATAAACTAAGTTTATATCAAACTTAATTTATAAGTCTATGGTAGAACCGGTCTCGACTATCGATGGAAGGGGTGTCGCGTGGGCATACGCATAACCGGCGTATTTGATCAATGGACACAGCTTATAGACATTAGACAATATATTACTTATTGTTTTTTATAATAATGCAATCCATCGACTGATATTTTATAGTAAAGAATTATTATATCGTTAAGAAAATAGGCCAAAAATCATAACATAGAAGAAAAATAATATTGTGTCAACCGATTAAATAGGTAACAATAAACTTCTTCCGATTAATAATATAGCTATATTATAGAAACGATAATTACAATATAGGTAATAATAAAATATTTATTCCGTCTAAATTCAAACAGAGGAATCCAAGTGAAAACAATTTTCAAATGTATCGTACATTTCTATTATAGTGAGTAAATAAGTATTAGGATTGATTTAAATCAAAAAGATGTCAACTAGGTACCTATTTTCTCTATTTTTTCTAAGCGTTTGAAAACAATATACGTCGTACTCGGATCACGTATTATAATACAAATGGTGTAAAGGCCAAGTTATGTGACCCAGGCCCCAAACAAAATAGAGATTTTAACTCTGATAAAGACACAATGAGTTATACACAAATTTCCCATAATATAATGTACACGAATATAATAATATAATCCTTAAATATTTTATTTTTTGTTGAATATTTTCACAAATAAATTTAACATTCAAACAACAATTTTTATATTATGTTATTCGCTTCTGAAAATGTTCATTGTTGAGGTTTACTCCACTTGGCCTTTCCACCGTACATAACCATAGTACTATAGTTCATGTACAGCTATAAATACGCCAAATGGGTGACGAACGAGGATTTGATTTACATTTGGACAGTTCACAAATAACAATAATATTATAGTATATACGTCTGATGAATTAATTCTGCTTTGTATTTTAATTATTAATCGTTTAAATAGTACAATAATCCTGTAATCCAATACCACATGTTTGCGTAAAAGGTTGACGTTTTCAGTAAGTCGTCTATAGTTTAGAGTTGGGGAAAACAACGAACAAGTTTGATAAAATCGTATACCTATACGTTATAGTTGGTACGTTAATTCCGAATAGACTTGGCTATGCGTATTTTGACTTAAAATTGTGTTCAAATTTACTTGTGCATAACTTCAAGAGTCGTAAAATAGAAAATTTAAATCGATAAATAGGTAGGTACTGTTAAAAGTATAATATTGAAATCATTTCAAAAAATTCAATATGAATAATTGATATATACGATCACATCAAATTCAATAACACTAATAACAGATTTGAGTTTTTCAAATATTTAACTTTTCTGTAACATTTTTATTACTTATATACACAAATAAATTGAATATTTATTTAAAGTCTGTAATTTCTAGTTATTTTGAACAAATTGTTAGGAAAGTTAATTATTTAAAGTAAAAATTAAATATTGATATTAAAAAAAGTTGGCACACACTTTTTACTTTAAAGTTACCTATTTTTTTTAGGCTAAAATAATTTTAATTATTATATAACATACTATCAATTACTATTCACAAATAAATATATATACAGGATGATTCAAAAAGCATTCTCAATCTCATTTTTTACTTTACTAATGAGTTTATTCAAATTTTTAATTAAACTTCAAGACCATATTTTAAAATGTTTGAGATTTTTTTGTACTACTTGAGGAGTGACTTGAGGTGATACAAACTTCTGTTTTTCAAATAAGAACCTCTCCTTTTTATTGTAAATTATTTAGTTGGTCATTTTTTAAAAACTTTGATGACTCTAATTCGAAATTTGAACGACTTGTCTCTCAGCTAATTATACGTAGTCCTTAGATATTGGTTCTACAAAAATATAAAATAAATGTAATATCGGATCTAGTACTTATTTATTATACTTGAACCATTTTTTAAAAGTTATAAATGTTCCAAAAAAAATCAAGAATTAAAGTATTCGAGAATATTTAAAAATTCCAAAAATCAGATTTTGAATAAGTGTATTATTAAAAAAATATTAACAATATGAGATATTGGAGCACCCAAAGTTAAATTCAACATATTATTGTAACATTTATAAACCTTATTTTTTTTACGTTTTTCATTATTTTCTCAAAAATAATTTTAATCGTTCTATATTAGCATTTAAATTCAATTGTTTATTTATAGAAACGGTGCATGAAACTATTTAATTGTTGTTTTTTGCTTCGAAAAATGTCACAATGTAAAACCATCCACAAATCAAGTTGCATAATATAATACTATATACTAGGTACCCTATATAAAGAGACATACATATTATACATGCCTTTTTTTTCACATTTTGGCTGGTGGTACAAATATACATTAACGTTCGTACCTACAAAAATTTAGTTATTTACTTGGTTTTTAATTTTATTTATTCTTTGCTGACTGATAAATTGTTGACAAATTCGGTGTATATAAATCTCAATTTATGTATATATAGACTTTTTTAAGTTCATAACTATTATATCTAAGACATTTTTTCGATTTATAACACTGAAATAATATGATATTTGACATGGTTTATATTTGTTAATTATATATTCGAGTATTATTGTTTTTTCTTATATAACATGTCGTAAATGTATTCAAGTTTTATTATATTTCACCATACTTGATTGTGTCACTTTCCTTTGAATTATTTTACTTTCATCTTGTTATTTTGGTAGTTGGCCAGAAAATATACGATGATTCAACACCAGTTTTCGTGAATTTTAAGGTCATTTAACTCTATACATGGCTAAATTCGTGACTACGCTTCATGTACTCAACGCTCTCTGGATTACAAAACTCAGTTATATGTCCACAAGTAAACTTTTTTGAGAAAACATACCTAATATTTAATTAAAAAAATAAATATAGATATTATAACACTGGCTAGAATGTAGTTATTACTTATTTTCATGTTAATAATAAGGAGGGCGTTGGAACTCGGTTGAACATTATTATTTTTCATTAGTGTTATTATATTATTTTTATGATAAGTGTCAATAAGAACAGTATACCTATGTGGAAATATGTTTTTTTTTATATATATAATATGAATTGATTTGGACATTTCATTTTTATAGACATTTCATTTATTTTTTATTATTTTCAGTATATAACGATTAGAGATTATTGCTCGTCATTATGTAGATATATTATATTATTTTAATAAGAGTTACAAGAAAAAAATCGTAAATTTGAACGTAATGTTAATGATGTATATTTTATATTATTTTTTTTCATAACACTAGAACCTACGATGTTAATAATGTATAGGTGGTGGAAGGTCGGTAGGTGTTCTATCTCTAAACACATTCAAGAATAAATTTAAATCCAAGTACCAAGTTATGAAGAACTGCTGGGTTATTGCGTTATTATTGACCAAAGAGTAGTTATGGTGCATATATAGACTTTGAGTTTTTGTTCTTCCAAAAAAATTAATAGGTACCTAGTTCGATATGTTTAATTCGATACTTATAACCTAATCTAGACATTATTTTTTACAAAGATGTGAAGAATTGTTCAATATATAAAAACCAAACATACCATTTTATATACATATCAAACGTTATATAATTTTATCAGTTAATAAGTTTAACTTAATTGATTCATATCCAAATAATATCCATTATTGTAAATTGTTTATTTATACATTTAACAAACCATTAACACTTTATTAATAAAGTCTATGGTGGTATATAACGTTGCTCCTCGTTCGATTGCAGCTACTATAATATAATCATTTAATAAATGGAATTCTATGTTGAAGTTTAACGGAACCAACCGTTGCACTGGACAAGAGTAATAATAATCAACGTAAAACAATATTATTATGTATAAAAATAATGATTATTATTATGTAAGTATGTCGTTTATAATATTATGATATTGATATTATATGTATGTACAATATCCTGTAATTTTTGGATATTCCGGTACCGACGGTGTTCATTTGTCCGGTGGCAACAAATAATTGGCCAAAATGAAGTTGGGCTGGGTGTTATGCCTGTTCTTTTGTTCTGAGTTGTCTCGACTTCCGTTTTCAGACCCATCTCGGGCGCCGTTCGATGGTGCTACTACTATTGGAGTTCTACTGAAAGGATAATATTCCACGTTGTCCACGACTACAGTATCATCGTTGCAAGGCCCTTGCAACGGTGGAGGCACTGATACGGTAGGATTTGGAGTTTGAGTCGATGTTGGTGGTGTTGGTGATGGCGGAGGTGGCGGAGGCGGAAGGTATACCGGTGGACATTCGGCAGTCGTGGTGGGACGATGATGATCGCCGCATGGCTGTCGTGTCACTCGACCATCGTCTCCATCTCTTAGGCCGGTCAGTGTTCCGTCTTTCGATGGCAAATAAAAATAATAATAGTACACGTGGTGATGAACGCCGGTCGTGGTCACTTGGTTCGACGGCAATGGAGAGGTAGGTAAGACGCGTGAAGGTTGCAGATTTGGCCGTATCATAGTCGGCGATGGAGGCGGTGGTTGGTATAGGTCCAATGGCTGCCGAAACTGTGGTTGGTGAACAAAATAACGTTGTGGTAGCAACGGTTCTTGATAGAATGGCCTAAATGCTATTGGCGGTGGCGTCCGTGAAGGAAACGTGTGGTAAAACTGTGGAAACTGACCGGACCACGCTGTACCCAATGCAATGACCATGGTACTGATTATTGCTAAAACACAGACTATAATTTAATATTATTTACACAATAAATAATATCTTAAGTCATGCACATGAATGATTAATACCGACCACTGTCAAAAAAAAAAAAAAATGTCACCTATGACCTAACTGACAACTAACCGATATGAGTTTAAGTCAAGCGACACATATTGGATAATCGATAGTATATTATTATGTACGCATTGCATATTATTACTACCATGAAATTATCTTAGCGTGGTAGGTATTAGGTACAAATGAAATAATATTAAAAATATATTTATAACAAATAAGCTGAAAATTTTTTTAACTTGTAACGTATTAAAACTGTTGCTTAGCTATATTTATATCGATTATTATTAGATAATTATTAATGTATTATTCTCTTAACTGCAATTGGTATAAAAATATTTAGTTTTATACATTACTTTATTGAAATGAGTTGTGTTCGAAAGAAAAAATCAGCATGTAATCCAAGCACTCAAATCTTTGGTACTATTACTACCTCTTAGTTTGTATACATTTTATGTTAAATTATAAACACAAAAGTTGTCACTTTTTGCCAATATTTTATATTGTCCTATGTACAAAAAATGCATATAAAACGTTGTTTTTATGAGCATTTAACGTGGATTTTTCATAAGAAAACTATATTCATCAAATACTGAGAATATTTTCAAATTAAAACGAATTGAATTATTTGATATTTTATTTATTTGGTCTATCAGAATTTAACCATTTACCTATCTAAGAAAAAACACCGGTGTATTTTTATTTTCTGAGTATTTAATCAGGTTGACGCATAACAAATGTTGATAGAAGTATTATCTTTTAAAGATCAACCAATTCAATCAAAGTCGAAAAAACAAATCAACAAAAAAGAAAATGTTCGGGAAGAAATTGGAAATAAGCACGGTCCGGTGAGACATGCACAACAGATCCAAGCGAATGTGCACAATTACATTTTAGGTGCTGTCGTCAAATGTGTGCTGTATGTAAAATAAAATTAAACTGTAATAAAATAAAAATTTCAGAAATGGGTTCAACGCAGGAAAAAACGTATTTTGAACCCATACATCAAACATTTAACCAAAGATTTAAGCAGGAAACAGAAATTCTAAAGGGAAAAATGAATTACCAACTCGAGAAAGACTCAATGTTTATACGAACTGAATACGACGACAAACTGTTACAAGATACCAATTATCATATGAATAAGTTTAACGTAAGTACGAAAATAAATATATACCAAAATTACATCTTTATTTCTGTAACGAAGGTATATTGACATTAGAGCATAACACATAAACATAATTATTTCAATATTATTGATAAATATTTGTCTATGGTTGGAAACATTTTTAATTTAAATGTTAAACATACAAAAACGTTATAACGTATTTTAAACAGAAAGATGTTACTGTATGTTGGACCTCAAATTTGTTGAAAAAATGTTAAAACAATTATTCAACTGGTTATTCATTATAATATATTGAGTAATAACATTTTACTTAAAATACTCGTTTATTGTGTAAGCCACAGGTTAGGTATAACACATTTTATTTTTAATCTAATTATTTATACTTGTTATTTCGACACAAAGGTTTATTTCATATTGAAAGATGCTTAGGTAAAATAACTAGTTTCAACAAAATAATGTACATTGTACATATTATTATATATAATACCTATATTCCGTTAACTTTAATACTTGTAAGTATCTAAATAGTATAGGTATTATTATAAACTGATAATAATAATGATAATAAAGGTATTTACAGTAAGGACATATTAATTGAAATTTTTGAAGATATTATCATTTATTATTATACATTAATCACAATTATTGTGTTTTTTAAAAACAAATATTCTCATATTCTGACTTAATAATATCACTAACCAAGTTAAATAAAATAACAATATAACCTATGCGCTATGAACATTTTTTTAAATTCATAAGCCCGAGCATTTTAACATCACAATTTTACATCATATTATAATCTATCATAATTAATAGATACCGTATTATTGAGTAACTATTAGTAATACCAAAATATATTCACAAGTTTAAAAGGTAAATAATATATTATTCAATTATTCAACCAATATTTTAGAGGTTTCTTTAATGCACTTTGACTACTGTGTGACTTCGTATTAGGGATCGTACAAAATCATTATTATAGATTATTGAGTAGAGGCAGCTTAAAAAAGACTGCAGTGTATATCTATAGGTATAAGCAGCAGCAAAATCAATGTAAAATTAATTAGGGACAAAAAATGTAAAGTTTAAATGTAAAGTATTATGAAGTTATAAACTAAAACAATAGTTTTGTTATGTTATCGATAACTTTCTAACCGGAATTATTTTACTTTCGACCCCAAAGTTATAAGGTTAGGTTAAGTCAGGATTTTAGATCCAATTTTATACTAGAAACCACACTCAAATTTGAAAATTAAACCATTTTTACTGCTCCAAAAGTGGATGCCAGACACATAGGTACACAAGAAACACACATCATTTTAAAACTAATACATTTGTACAGGATAGATATTGATAGCTTAAATTTAATTCACATATTATATTGCAATAATTATTTATTCTTATCTTAATTATGTTCAAGCATAGTTCCCGCCTAAATAAAAATAAATAGTACTTCATAATTTATTCTTTGTATTAGTTCATGCAAAATATTATATCGAATAATGATATTACAATTTATATTGAAATAGTTTAATCCCCCTTCTGTACTTAATCACTGGTAGTGTTCTTAACCCATTGATATTAATATCTCGGGGCGTAAGCTTGTGGTTCCCTTTTCACAATTTCTTTGGATTTAATCAGTGATGCATTATACAAAATTAACAGTGTGCAGTGTACATTTATTAGAACACAATAGGTATTTTAATAATAATTGTATTATATTATACGTACTGACGTACTGTATACATTCAGATATTCGGTAGAGATTAAAAAAAAACAAAATATAAAATGTGTATTTTAAGCTCTTGCTATAATTATTCAACTTTATTTGAAAGAAGACAATTTTTGACACCTTTAATGTATGCCTATCACTAAAAGAGGTATATTTTTAAAATAAAAATCATACCTAAATTGCTAAATGATAAGTTTAGAACTATGAAGTGGTGTCACTGGACACTCCCTTCGCTTAAGGCTGTTGAAACCGAACCATTTTCGTCGTATTTATGCAATATTGTATCCTTCTTGAGTGATGTGTGACTATGTTTGTAGTAACTGATTATTAGTGTGCCTGAGTTCCCCGAGTGCTTTATGTAATTAAAGAAAAACTGTACATACTTGCTGTCATACGTCACTTTAATATTTTGCTTTCAAAAAAGTTTCAACACGAAAGTCCCAAAAAGAGGAAAAAAAATTTACCCAGTACCAAAAGCCCGATATTAATTTTAAAAACATATTTGTGTTCCTTATTCTATTTTCTAGGTCATGAAGGAAACAGATTTTCGATTTGTCGTATTTTTTGATTAGTATAGTACCAAATTAATTTTCCTTTTTTAAAAATTTACTTTTACTTTAGTGTTACTATAAATTAAAAATTAATTAATCTCCTTCAAAACACAGACAACAAGCGAACAAATTCTAATATTTTTTCAAAGTTAAGGACTTCTAGAAGTATGTTTATTTTTCTCGCTTATTGTACTAAATTCAAGAAAAAATGCCCTTCTTAAAATAGCCTTAAGCATAAAACCAATTTTTGAATAAACTATTTTATTTCTTTGGTGTAACTCAAAAGTAATAACCCTAAACGATTGAAACTTTCACCAAATATTTATATTAGCATTTTCTATATATGGTAACATTTTGAAATAATGAGATACATTAGCTTATCTATTAATACTGCTCAACACTAAGGGTAAAAAATGATTTAATGTTTAAAAATAATAAAATTTGAATCCTATTTATTTTTTTATTATATCTATTGTAATTGATAACAATATCACAAGCAAGTGTTTTTTTTTAAATTTGTTTATTTCACAATCTGCAGACCTGATGCATTAATATTATAATGAATAACAAACGATTATGATACTTATGAGGAAAAAAATACAATTATCATGTTTCGTGAAATTACAAGTCCTCCTCCAACGAACACATTTGGATAATATTACTAACTAAGCCACTAATAGACTAATTTAAAAATTGCACGATATTGTTCAACGATATATTTTACAATTTACTAGTGCGTTACTATAACTAAAACGTAAAAGATGCAACACGTTGACTCTAAATTATAAATTTAAAATATTAACATTCTAATTGAGTTGTATTTTTATATTTAATTACCTACTATTAGATTATAATATTATCAGTTATGACATCTGCAAGCTGTTGCATAGGTAGTTTTAAATTTGTATGATGTATGTAATAATGTAATATTGCTACAGATATAGGTAACATTTAGTTAAACAGTAACATCGATGAAAATATTGCAGTTAAAACATTGCAGTAAAGCCTATAGAAATACCTAGTTTAACGTGACATGCATAGCATGAGTGCAGGATAGATCACAAATCATTGGCGTTCCAGTGACATGGTAAGAGGTGGGGGGGAGGCAAGTAACAATTTTCTGGCAATTTCGATGATTTTCTTTTTGTAATTTTGTTTTAACAGTATTCAATTATTTAGAAATACAGCTTGGAGGGCGCTCCCCAAGGGCCCCCCTCTGGAGCAGCCCCTGGGCGCTAATGCTCCAGAGTGATTATTACTCCAAAGGTCGACCTTTACAATGTGCAGTACTCCGCATTATATAGACTTTATCCTGCTATAATAGACATTATAAGCCATCACCGCCACAGATACGATTCGCATTTGGTTTCTCGGGCGTTGCATGATTTTTTTTTTACTTATAGTGTTGTGCGTCCTCTTAGTTTATTATCGTAATGGTAATGTAAAAATAATTAAAAATGTATCTGAATTTAGTTTCTAAAATTGTGTGGTTTTAATAATATTTTGTTTAAA